TTTTTTTTATAAATGTAGAGAATGCATACTTCATATGATTTTTATAATGCTCATATGAATAATGTATTAAATACGCCTAATATAATCTCTAGCACACAGTAAATACTTCCAAATCTCAAGATTTACCTCTTTCTCACTCTTCCATTTGTTTTAATTTTATCTGGCTGATATGAATTAAATAGTTAATTAAAAGAATTTTTAAGACATAAGTGTAATTTACATAGGTAGAAAGTATTTTTACAACTTGTCTTATTAGGCTTTCTTGGCTAGAAACTACAAATTATATTAGGCTATGGAGTTTACAATATGGCAATGGCAACCAGTTTCAAGTGATAAGATCCCATATGTGTCAGAATAGAACTATGCCACATAGGCTGTCAATGGCTGAGTTTTTATAAGCATATTTCCATGCCTTTCTTGTAAGATAGCTTTGAATGTATTCAAATTTACAATCTTTCAGGTAACAGCTGGGTTCATTAATTGTTTGCACCACTCAGGTATTCACAGTACAGTTTGGGTAGTCTGTAAGTGGATGGAACTTAATATGGAGAAAAAGAGTTAAAACTTGGACTTTTGGAAATTTTATTATTTCCCTGACGTTGGCTTGATTTTTGTCAGAGATAGGCTAGACTGTGGCAATCTGTTCACAAATTTATATGGCTGCTTATATAACCACAGACCTACTTCTGAGACAGCTCTCCAGAGTACCTTGTCAGATTAAGTTACCTACAGAATCTGACTTTTCAGCATTTATTGCTCAGAGGAAAAAGAAAAACAAATTTTAGTAAGCAGTAAAGACTATTTAATAAAAGATGAACAAGATGTTTCCATTATTGCAAACACACTATATGGTACATCCAGGATACAAGAATATACAGACATTAAAACCAGAACTAAACAAGATTGTGCAAAAACTTAGTCCTAGAAACAGATATTTATATATTCTGAACTGACCAGATGGCTAAAGAAGCTATCACCATCTGCCACACAGTATAAAACACTAGAAAGCTGAAACCAAATTTTCTCACTAATTCCTCACTTAACTTCTTTATAGGGAAAGAGGAATATTCTATAAATTTAACTATTTCTCATTTTATGGTCTTGGGAAAATAACTATTAGCCAGCTTGTATCTTAGTGGTCCATTATAAAGGTCATGAGAAAGAGGTAGGAAAAACTAGAATGCTTTATTTCCTTAGCAAAAAGCATAGTTTAATTACTCTCACAGGGCCTGTACATGCAATAGTAGCTTTAGCAGTTGCCACCTGAAATGAGGCTCTTTAAGCCTCTACTTAAGTTCTTGAAATTTTCCACTTTGTTTCTTGATAGTGTGGGTATTGTTCAGAGAAGATAGTTAAGCACAAGTTACATTCCTAACACTGAATCAATGATCCTTTCAGTGATAAAATAAACAATATAAATGTTTAAGAAAATGTAATTCAATTGTGGAGGTAAAAATTATACAAAATTAATACAAGGAAGGTTTTAAGTTAAAGTCAGGATAAATTGAGATTTTAAGACTGAATTATATTTGTTGTTTTGCATACTGTTGAGTCAGAACTGACCCATAGCTGACCCTCCAGTGGGTTTTCAGAGGCAGTTAATGGCTCAGGAGGGGACTGTCCATAATTCTCCCACGGAGCAACTGGTGGCCTTGAACTGAGTGCCTTCTGGATTGCAGCACAGCTTCTTGCCACTAGACCACCTGAACTGGGCAAATAATAGCACAAATAATTTACAAATAATTTTCACCAATGCTGAAAAGTAATTATCTTGAGAATGGTTAAAATAGCTTTGAGTGTTGGGAACAGTGAGAAACAGTTTGCAATTAGCTTCTAGTCTTAAATTTGCAGGGTCAGACTTTTCCAATAGCTCCACAGAAGAAATCAACAAATTGTTTCCATAAAAAAATATAGGCAGAAAAATCACATGGGAATGTTCTACTCTGTAACATATTGAGTTGGATTCTTAGATCTCATTGTTGTTGTTAGGTGCCATGGAGTCAAGTACAACTCATAGCAACCCTATGAACAACAGACCCAAACCCTGTCCTATCATTTGCCATTCTCATAATTTCTGACGTATTTCAGCTTATTCCTGAAATCATTGTGTCAGTCCATCTGGTTAAGAGTTTTCTTCTCTTTCACTGATGCTCTCTCACTGATATCTCTCTCCAAGGAAGAGCCTCCCCAAGCAACATGCCCAAAGCTTCACCATCTTTGTCTCCAGGAAGCACTCTGGTTGTACCTTCTCTAAGACCTTTGTTCTTTTGGCAGTCCATTAAATACTCAGTACTCTTATCAAACACTACTACTTAAAGTTATCAATTCTTCTTCTGTCATCATTATTCACTGACCAACTTTCAGGTGCACAGTAAGTGACTGAAAAGACCATAGCATGAATCAGGCACACTTAAGTCTTCAAACTGATATTACTGGTCCTTGTGACTGCTTATAGACTTTACCAATACAATATTCTCCTGATCTCCTAGCTGCTGGTACCAAGGGTTTTGATTGTGGATCCAAATAAGATGAAAAAAGTTGACAATTCAATCTTTTCTCCATCTATCATAACGTTGCCTAAAGGTCTATTGGTGAGAATTTTTGCTTTCTTGATGTTGAGATGCAATCCACTGAAGGCTGTATTGTTTGATCTTTTGTGGCAAGTATTTCAAGTCCTTCTCACTTTCCACAAGCAATGTTGTATCATCTGCATAATGCAGGTTCTTTATTCTTCTTCTGATCCTGAGGCTACATTCTTCTGCATAGAGTCTAGCTTTTTAAATTACTTGCTCAGCATATAGATGCAATATGTATGGAGAGAGGATACAACCCTGATGCACACCTTCTTTAGTTGTAAACCATGTGGTGTTCCATTGCACAACTGCCCTTGTTCTAGGCACAGGTTTTGTATGAGCACAATTAACTGTTCTAGGATCCCCATTTTTCTCATAATTACCATAATTTGTTGTGACCCACAGTCAAATGCCTTTGCACAGTCAATAAAGAACAGATAGAAATTCTTCTTGTATCCTTTGCTTTCAGCCAAGACCCATTGATACCCCTTATGCCACAACCTTCTCTAAACCTAGATAATTTTAAATTCTTTTTAGCAACATTTTGCATGTATGTGATATTAATTATATTGTTTGATAATTTCCACATTCTGTTGGATCATCTTTCTTGGGAATGATAAAAAAAAATCCCTTCCAGTCAGTTGGTCAGGCACCTGTCCTCCAAATTTCCTGGGATAGAATAGTTGAGCACATGTAAGGTTTGCATCTATCGGTTAGTTGAAACATATCAAGTGGTTTCCTATAGATTCCTGGGGCCTTATTTTTTTTTCTAATGCCTTCAGTGCAAATTGAAATTCTTCCTTTATGTACATTGTCTCTTGATCATATGGTACTTCCAGAAATATTTCAGTGTTAGTAAATTTTTTTGGTACAGTGATTCTGTGTAGTATGGATTCTTCCATCTTTTGTGATGCTTCTTAAATCACTCAAGATTTTATGATTAGCATCTCTAAGTATTGCTACTCGAGGCTTCAATTTGTTTTTCAGTTTTTTTAAATTTGAGAAAGGCTAAGCAAATTCTCCAATCCCACCTGTCTGCATGTTCCATTGTAATACTTTGCTTTGTCTTCTCAAGCTGCCCTTTGTAATTTTCTGTTAGGTCTTTTACTTCAACATTTCTTTCCTTTGTTTTGGCTTTTGGATCCTCTAGTGTCATTTTCAGAGTGTCTCTTTTAACATTCATTTGTGGTTTTTTTTTTCTTTGCCCTTTGTCTTTGTAATGACCTTTTGCTCTCTGCAAGGATGATATCCAGATGTCATCACACAACCTATCTGGTCTTTGATCACTAGTGTTCAATGCTTCACACCTATTCTTAAGATGATTTTGAAATTCAAATGAATAGGCTCAAGATCATATTTTGGTTCTTGTGAACTTGTTTTCATTTCCTTCATCCTCAATTTGAATTTGCATATGAGTAATTGATGGTCTGTTCCATAGTCAGCACCAGTCCTGGTTTTAATTGCTGATATTGAGCTTCTCCAATGATTCCTTCCACAGAAGTAGTCAATCTGATTCCTGTGCTGTCAATTAGATGAAGTCCATGTATAAAAAATGGTTGTTGGTATTTGAGATGAATAAATAACTGAATATGCAAATTTGAACATTCTACTTCTAGCCTAATTTCTGTCACTAATTCCATACTTTGAGCCCACCATTCCTCCTTCTTTGTTGCCAATTTTTGCATTTCAGTCACCAATTATCATTAATGCATTTTGACTATATGCTTGGTTAGTTTCAGTTGACAAAAATCTGGTAAAAATCTTCAATTTCTCTTATTTAGCTTTAGCTGTTAGTGCATATATATGAATAATAGTTGTATTAACAGTTTTTCCTTGTATGTATACAGATAGTATTGTATCACAACATTTA